TTTTTTAATCATTTTTTTATCTCTAAAATAACTTTAAAATTTTTTTTAATAAAAATTTAAATTTATCATTCATAATTAGTATTCTAAAAGCAAAAATTTCAATAAACTGCACCAAACAAACCTTAGCCTATGGAAGCTGATAGGACCAAAAACTGGTTATTTGAAAGGTCAAGACGCGGTTTGCTTTGAATAATATGGACCCTGCAAATAATCAAGACGCGGTTTGCTTTAAATAATATGAGCCCTGCAAATAATCAGGACGCGGTTTGCTTTAAATAATATGGGCCCTACAAATAATCAACATGCGGTTTGACGCGGTTTGCTTTAAATAATATGGACCCTGCAAATAATCAAGACACGGTTTGCTTTAAATAATATGGGCCTACAAATAATCAAGACGCGGTTTGCTTTAAATAATATGGGCCCTACAAATAATCAACATGCGGTTTGCTTTAGATGAAGACCAGTGCTAGGGGCACTAGCCTCTTGCACTCTCCTGCCAATACTTCCCGTTTCATTGGGCCACGTAAGCATGTTGTAGCCTTGAACGTCAACCTCTCGTAAAACAAAATAACGTGGCCCAATAAAAGGGGAAGTGTTGGCCGGAGAGTGCAAGAGGCGAGTTCCCCTAGCGTTCCCCTAGCACTGCTCTTAGATGAATGTTTCAAAATTTTGGGCCCTACAAATAATATTGCCTTGAAATACAAGGCGTAGGGAAAAAGTTCAGGTCGAAAAATTCTCGGTCTCATCTGTCTTCAATTCTCATAGCTGCTTGTTGGAAGTAGATTAATTAATTCCTTTTCATAATCTGCAGATGATAAAGATATCATAAGCTGATTGCCGAACAAATTTTAAATTCTTTGAGTACTTCTAGAATGGATTTCAGTAAAAAAACTAAGAAAGAAAATGCATGCAGCTAGCAACCATGCAGTCTCTTTCACGTGTAACTTTCTGAAATCAGTGCTGTTATGAGGGCATGCATTTGTTCATATAGGAATCTGCTTTTATATCGTTCATCCTATGAGATGCTTCATTTGGTGGCTCAGTTTGCTAAATGAAACCTAGCAACTGATAATAATAATTCCTATGCTCCGTTCTTGTGTAACATTCAAGTTTAAACATTTTTACTGAAAAATAAATTATACTTGTGATAATTGTATAGGCTAATAAGACTAAATCTTGAGCACCCAATTGAATTATTGATTAATATGAGTGAAATGTTATCCCTGGTGCAGATATTAGCTCACTGATGAGCATCATTTTTATACTCATTGATGAGTATCATTTTTATATTTTACCTCTTAGTACTCCTCATGACAAGTCAAATATCATCATGTTCCAATGTTTATCTTTATATAAATGAATTTTTTATATAGCATTCTTCTTTGTGGGATAATTATTTTTAGCATAATTATAAACTTAACCATCTTAATTGGGTATTTAGAATGCATGGGTGGACTCTACAACAAAAATCTTGATACTTATCTTGATCCTACACCAATAAGATTTATTTTGCTTGCGGGCATTATTTTGACTCTTTATATAATTAAGCTGTGTATGACTGGTTCCATATGCCTAGGCTGTATAAACGTGATAGAGGAAATTCTTAAACTCCATCTTTTTCCTTAAAGAAATATTATATTCTATACATTGATTGATTTTTATTCGCCTTTATAGTGAATGCATATTATCTTAGCCTTATTATGTCTTCAAAAATTTGACTATTCTCCATGACTGCTGAATTCCCCAGCACAATTCAACTTAGCCAAGTAGGTATTCCAAGTTTCCATTCTCTCCATATTTTTTCCCCTAAACACCTACTCAATTCTTGAGAAAATTTGAGAAAATTGAGAGATTAATGGTACTTGAAATAGTTTTTTTTTTTTTTTGAGTTGTCTTGTTAGGCTATGGTTGTGGGTTGGTATTTGGACTATTGGTGGGGTATCTTTCGGACTGGAAAACCAAATGGTTTGTCTTTGTTCGATGGACAACCAAATCAAAGTGGAATTAAGATGAAGAAAGCTCCGAAGGACAAACCAGTTAAAGAGTTGATGTTTTAGACCTTCTAGATTCGAGTTACTTGAAAAATGAAAATTACCTTTTTCGATACAATGTTTTTGTTTTGGATGGCTTCTGTCTGTTTGTTGTAGTGTTCTCTTTACTAGTTTTAAAAATTGCCAAATTTTCTCTTTGTGCTTCGTAATTCTGTCTTAATTTGTTCTAGAATTCTTTAAGAAGAGGTTACGGTAAATGGTGGAAGTACATTTTGTTGTCTTTTTGGCCCCAAAAAGAATTTGCTATGTCCTTGCTGCAGTGACACTATACTGTTGTGAACATCTGGAAAATGCAATTTTGTCATTTCTAGT